ACTTAAAGAACCCATGAGCTTGACCATTGATTAGAATAGAATACCAATTGTTTGAAACTAATCCAAAGACAATCCCTATCAACCTTTCTGTGAATCCCATCTTTCTCAGTACCTTGGTTAGGAATAGCCAAGATAATCTATCATAAGCTTTGGTCATATCTAGCTTCAGGATGACATTAGGTCCAACCTTAGTTCTAAGCCTAATGCCAGTCACTATCTCCTGAGTTAGAAGGATGTTTTCTACTATATTCCTGCCCTTACCAAAACATGCACGTTCCTCTGATATCAGACTTGGGAGAAATTTCACTAGCCTTTCATGTACCACCCTCGATATAACCTTATTAGAAAATTACTGAGGCTTATTGGTCTTAAATCAGAAAAAGGTGGTAACTTCTTTTTTCTTTGGTAGCAGAACTAGGTTGGTGTGTGTTACACACTTGGGTAGCTCATGACCATTGAAAAAAGCCATCACCATGTCGTACAGGTCATCCCCTATTATGTCCCAATAAGAATGATAGAATTTTCCTGTCATACCATCTGGCCCCCCGGCACTATCACCATTAAGTCCAAGTACTGCCACTTTAACCTCCTCTTTTATTGGTTGCTTAATCAATTCTGCATTTTGCTCAGTGTTAATCAGATTAGGAACATGCTCTAAGATATCAAATGATGAAGGAGTAGCTGCTTCTGTGAACTGTTCCTCATAGTATTTGATAGCCTCTTCTGCAATTTCTTGTTCTTCGCCAATCCAGGTTCCTCCACTATTTTGAATTCGGTTAAGCTGAAGTCTCTTTCTCCTACCTCTCATTTGTGCATGGAAAAACTTAGTGTTCCTATCCCCTTCCTTGAACCAAGTCATGCCTGCCTTTTGTTGCCAATATTTCTCCTCTAGTGTAAGACATTTGATCAATTCTGCCTGAACCTTTTGTAGCCTTTCCCTGTTCATCCCTGTAGGATTTGCTTCAAATTCTGCTTCATGAACCATCACTACCTCCTCCATGCTTGCTATCTTTTGGAAAATATCTCCAAATGTAGCCTTACTCCACAATGAAAGGGCCTTCTTTAATTTTTTTTAACTTGTGATTAAAAAGAATATAAGGATTTGCACTGAAATAAGCTGTCCAATTCTCTTTCACCACATCTTTAAAAGTCGCATGTTCCACCCAAAAATTCAAGAACATAAAAGGATTTTTTATTTGTGGAGTCTCAGTATCACACTTCAGATACATTGGACTATGATCAGAACCAGTCTTTGACAAATGTTGCACCTCTATTCCTGGAAATGTTTGTTGGAACTCAACATTGGCCAAACATCTATCTAGCCTTTTGAATATACAGTCTTCCTCTACTCACCCATTCCACCATGTAAATATGTTGCCTTTAAATCCAAGGTCGAAGAGATTACAAGTGTTGGCGCAATGTCGAAAATCATCAATTTCATTCAATGACACAGGTAGCCCACCAAACTTTTCTTCTTCATCCCATATTACATTGAAATCACCTCCTACAAGCCATGGTGCCATATCCCTTGCCATTGCATATAATGAATCCCATAATTCTATCCTCTCAATTGCATCACATTTAGCATATATCAATGTTAGGACAAACTCCACATGCGATTCAGTATAAAACAATCGTAGTGTTAATTGTTGCACCATATTGTACATAACAGTTACCTCAAATACCACATCTATGAAAGCCCAGATCTTGTTGGAAATATTTGAAATTGTCTGTGCAAGTCCTATCTTGTTTCTGTACCTTTCCAGTTTTTTTGCTTGTTTCTTTGGCTCCATTAATCCTACAAATTCATAGTGATTTTGCCTGTGCATTTTTGTCAACCTTTCAAAGGACTGCTGTGTGTTGACTGACCTTATATTCCAAATGATAGCATTCATCACTCATTGTTGGATTTAGTTAGCGTTCTCCTTGTGTGCACCCCAGCTTTTGGTGCTGCAAAATTATCTTTTTGTTGCTTCTTCTTACCTTTTGCTGCTGATTTTGCCTTTTCCACTTGCGTAGGTGATAAGTCACCTTGCCTTGCAGCATTCATAAGGTGTTGGGTAGTCGATTCATGATCCATGTCATATCCTGATCTACCAGGTTCTTCTCCTTCTTCATTGTCTTCCTTCCCTCCTGATGTAGCTCCAAATGCATTTTTTTAGGGACCAAGGCCTTCTCTTCTCCTCGTTTTAACAGCTGCAACTGCTTTTTCTCCAATGTAACAATAACATTTACTATTTTTGTTTTTTGTTTTGGTTGTTTCTCCTTCTCTGTTGGGTTGTGTCCTTGTGGGTCTTCTTGTGATTTCTGAAGTTTATCGTCTTCTGTTCCTCCAGGATCATTTACCTCTGGGCCTCTTCCTTCATAGTTTCTAATTTCTGTTACTTCTGCTATCTGATAATTATTGTTGTGCTCAACAATTTATGATCCTCCCATTATTAAAAAATTACCAGTTGTATTGTTGTCATTGGCATGAAGCTCTCCATTTACACTTTGCTCATTTACATTTTGCTCATCTTCTTCTTTGTCCTTCTTATTTGGTTCCTCATCAGCTTGTGCTCCTAGTGGTACTTCGTTCTCGTCTGAATCGTATTCCCTTTGTGCATCTCATAGCCTGCCACCACAGCCTTGCATTCTTTCTTTAAATGTAGACGATTTTGACCCTTCTGCTTGAGAATTTGGAGTTTTATTAAGTTCCTTGTTCACAAATGTATCTTGTGATGGGTTTTCTCGGCATGATGTATTGATCTTCACTATTCCATCTCCTGTTTTATCCTTGAAACTTCTTTCTACCCATTGTGCAGTATCGTTTTTTTGCTTTTGATGCCTCCTTTCCTTTGACTAGACCATTAGTCGAACCAATACCCGATGAGTTAAGATGAAAAGCTTGTGCTGCTGGATTTAGCTTTCCCTCATTATTGACCATATGTTTTGGTTTTTGCTTTGTAGATGCTTGGTTATGAACTGCTGGACTGTTTGTTGCTGTATTAGCTGCCACTATTGCCAATTGATTAACATGTTCTTCCTCTTCATCCATCCCTTATAATATTGCAAACTTGTTAGCTACTTGAACATGATCATTATCTTTATTGTTTACTACCACCAATTCCTTACCACTGTTGCTTTGTGCTTCTGCTTGTCTATCTATAGTGCTTTTCCCTCCTTGTTCTTATTATTTTCAAGCTTCTTAGTTGGTGCCATCTCCATTCCATTATTATTGAGACTAGTATTTTGATTTACTACATTTCTAACTCTGTTGTCCTTCACTTCCTTCCATTCCTCTTTAGCTGTAACACACATTATCCATGACCTTTCCACTAGATAAAATCATTATAGGCTGTGAGTTCCCTATGTCCTACTTCTTAGCTGTATCTGCTTGGTTAGCATTCTCCTTATCCACATATAGTTCAGGGTGTATCCTCCAACATTCAAATTGATCATGCCCTTGAAGTTTACAATGTCTGCAATATTTAGGCATCATGTCATATTTAATTCTCACCCATTCAGTTCTTGTTGTTCCATTAGTTTCATTGAATATGTCCATCCTCACCTTTTTAGGCAAATCTGCAAGTAGATCAACTAGTACCTTCACCCCAGCACAACTAGGTCTAGTTTTATTAATTCTTGCCATGTCTAGATGCATAGGTTTACCTACTGCTGTAGCTAGAGAAAATAGACATTCCTTCACAAAAAAGGTTGGCAATAGACCTGGGAATGAAATCCAAGAAAATGCCTTGGGTGTTTCTTCATCTGCTCTAAACTTTGAGTCGTAAATCAATGGCCTAAGCTGATATTGATAGCCATCCCTGTCCTTTATGTAATGAGTTTTTGATGACAAATGAAGATAGTCCTGCCTTAACGTCATTCTAATCAAAATGTGCCTATCCCTTAGAAATCCAATGTTACACTCACCTTTAATTCCGATTGAATTGATATTAACTTACGTAGTTGTTGAATTTCTGGGCTTCCGTAAGAACATTTACCAACTATTGCATATTGTAAACCTTTGATGATATCCATCCTCTCTACTTCTGCTTCTGTGAACTGAATAACATGCTCTCCATTCAATATTGTTGGTGGACGAATGGGAATTGGCTCAACTTCCTGTTGCTCATGCATTGCAGCATTTAAAGTGCAAGGTTTCAAAATTTTGGAGTAATCCATCGGTTGTTTGTTGTTATTTGTGTTCCCTGATATTTGTGCACTGTTAGGAGGAGGTTGGGTAGGCAGCGCAGCCACAAAAGGTGGCTGGTCACCTGCCTGTGTGTTCATTACAGATGTAATTCTTTAGCACTTTAACAACATGACAAAGGTGCAGCAGCTTTGCAAGAAAATAATGCTACTTTAATTCGAATTAGCTTCACGTTACTTACTGCTTATGGCTGTGAATCCAATTTCACAGTCCAAACTGTAAAAAGCAGTAATTTCGATTTAAAATGAAGCTTATAATTCAAACCAATCTTAGAAGAGAAGAGAACACTTTCACGTTATCAAAACAAGCTATTGTGCTGAAAAGTAGCGCTAGAATTAGCTGAATCGCTGAAATTGAATGAAGAACACTGTCTGCTACAGTAACTCGTGAAAATAAAATTAAGATCTACAAAATTGACTATAGATCTGAAGTTGAAACCAATTGGGTAATATTCGTAAGGAATTTATGTATCTTTTGAGACCAAGTTTGGTTAATTCCACCACCGGATGCCGGAGTTTTGACCGAAAAATGATGGAGAAATTACTATTCCTTCTCTTCCTAGAGAGAAGGCAGAGTTTTAGTTTTTTTTTCCTTGCTCAAATTCATTAATAGTATTGACTCTTCCTTGAATGGTTTCCGGCTTATGTATTCACTTTGTCTTTTCCCTTTTTTTAGAGATGGTCGAATCTTATGTGGATTGCCTATGTATCATGTCCCAACATGAATCAGACCAGGCGTAGCTCTTCCATAAGTAAAAATAAAGACACAATTGTTTTTTATTTTCTTTTCATTTTTCTTTTTTTTTTCATTTTATTACCAAAATATGCTATTACAAGCTACCCATTTGAAAAAAAGACAAACAAAATACAGACTCCACACTATTAACATTGTTTGATATGAAAAGAGAACACAGGGGTAGACAACAGACTCTTAAAAACAACAAGTGCAGACTTGAACTAGGGATACATTAAGGCCTTGAATTTTGGTGCCCGCGAGGCATCGTTCGGCCTTTCCGCGGGCTTTGGTGCAAGGATTCTTTGCAAGCATTTTAATTCCTCACATGTTAGGCACTTCGTGGTGATGTAGTGCCCAATCTCATCGATCCTACCCCTGATTCTATCCCTTTCCATACACATCTGTTCTATTCGTTGATTCTTTAATCCCAATCCTTGAGTGTTGTCAACGAGCTGATCTTGGAACCTCTCCATTTGTTCTTCCATTCGGGCTATTGAATCATAGCAGCACTCCCTGTCCGTTCTAGCATCTCGGGCTTGTTTAAAGACCCGATCTATGAGAGTGGAATTTGTTTCTCTTAATATTGAAATGCTCCCTTCATAATCCCTTCTCACTTGCCATAGGTGCTTTTTCCGCGCTACTGCACCTTTTGCCCATCTGGCCCGCATTCTTGCTATGCTAGCCTCAGATCTTTCCAAGTCTTTTCAGCTTTCAATGACCTGATTCCTTAACCCTGCTATCAGCCTTTTATCGGACCGGCTTCTCCGTTGGTTGTCGGCATCCATTATGACTTGTCGGTTTTGATCTCTAAGGGAGTCATTTTCTTGGGTTGATTTCTTTCTGTCCCCTTCATCGGTCGCGGTATGAATTTCTCTTTCAAATTGAAGATCTATGACCTGCTGCTTCAACTTGCCTATTGTGGCCCTGTATTCTTTTTCCTTCGCCAAATAGTCCCAATGCTCTTGTGAGGACTTGGCAAATTCTTGAAGGTGAGTTCTTTTAGCCGGCCTTCCAGACGACACTTCCCCTTTGTACCAAGCTTGATATCCGGGTGAAACTTCCCCTCTTGCCCGATTTAGTACACAAGTATTTGCCTCCAAGTATTGACATTGGCTCCAAATCTGGAGGACCCTTGCTTCAGGAAACTGGCCATCAGAACTGATCTCAGTCACTTGGGTGCTCAGGTCCTCATCTTTCGGTACATCTGACACCTTCCACGTTGCCTTAAAACCCGATACGGCGCATAAGGTTGAATGCTCTTAAGTCCCATCAAGAGAAAATGAGGCCTAGCTGCTGGCATATATATGACGTCGTCGATCAGTAACCATACCAGTGTCCACTGTATTTGACTGGCGTTGAGGGTCCGTAAGTATGAGGTCTATGCCGAGACTCCTTCGGGTAAGCGGACCTCATTAATTCTGGTGTAGAACTCCTCTATGCAGGTTTTCTCAGAAGATCCATGGCTCAGGAACTGGGCTCGGTGACATAGGTGTTCGGTCATCCACATTTGCCATAACAAGTTACACCCTTCAAAAAAATTCCCTCCGGCTTTGCAGGCCGTGAGAGCTCGGAAGATATCAGATACAATCCTGGGCGCAAACGTGCTGTCATATTGAGTGAGCAAAGTACTGACGACCCCAGCTATCTTTATGTCAATATTCCCGTCTTTTCTTGGGAACACTAAAAGACCTAAGAAGGTTATCATGAAAGCAACCCGTCTATGTTCATCCCACTTCCGACGGTTACTTTTGCTGCACAACTTATTTTATGGCTTGTCGAATCCTCCTATGTGGCCGTATCTTTGGTATATGAAGCTCAAAGTGCAAAAACCTTTCGCCAAGTCTGGGTTATGGATCGTTCTGACTATCTTTAACGATTCCAAAAATCGGTGCACCGCTACGGCTCTTGGAGCAACTAGGTATTTACGCCTCAACGGAACCTCAGCACTGCCGATGTACCCTGCTATTTCCTCTAAAGTCGGGGTGAGTTCAAAGTCCGAGAAGTGGAAGACATTGTGCGCCGGGTCCCAGTAAGTGACCAATGCCCTTATAATATCCCCTCGAGGCCTGATACCCAACAAACCCGTAAGACCTTTCAGATGTTTCTTGACTTCGTCTCGCCCTTCTTTGCCTAAATCATTCCACCATAGCCGCAACTGAAGGGGGATTTTATTCATGATTGAAAAAGGTTCATTTTGAGTCGTGCTCATTCTGCACATTTATTAATGTGATTAAACAAAAGAAAATTTATTTGACTCAAAACGATTTGATTATTTTTTCATAAAAAAAACCCGATTTTTCGAACACGACCTTTCAGCACTTCAGGGACGAAGATTTTAAGGTTGTGTGAGTCAACCGATCAATAATCCAAAAATGATAGAAGCGACCGTTTATGCATAGTCAGCCTTCCGGCGACCCTTTCGGGAACGTTTGGCTATTTCTGATAAAAACGACATCGCCCGACTCTATGGTGAAAAATTAAGATTTGACAGTTTTTGTCTATTTTTTGCAAAATGGGGGGTTGGACCCGACGAGGGTTGCCTACGTATCTCACGCCCCGTGAAAATCAAACCGACGTAGTTCTCCCAACATAAGCTAAACTTGTAAACAAGACTCCTTTCTTTTCAAATAAATCAAACTAATTTTTTTTTTCATTTTTTCAAAATTTCGGCAGGGTTTTGACACTACTTGGACATTGGTTTTATTTTTCTAAAAATAAGTAGTTATCTCCCTACACTGCTATATTTTTTTATTTTTTTTTCACAATTTTTCAAATATTCCCGATTTTAGAAGCCGATCAGCATGTAGATCTGAAGCAAATAAATGTGTAAAACAAACAAGATGCAGCAGGATGGTCTTTTTTCATTTCAGGTTGCTTGTCCTAGACGGACCCAACCCCTGTGTTGAGTACCCTAAGTCAAATGCAACATGATGCAAATAAACGTTCCTACTAGGGATCCGACATGAAGTCAAGTTATTCTAGGTTCAACCTGGGTATATGTTCTAGATAGTGTACCCCGAGCAGACAACTCGAGTTGAGGAATGAGCTCCTTTTC